AAGTGCCAACAACCAAACGGAGCAAACACAGGGAAACCGGAGAAAGCTCAACGGGCGAGGGCCTAACTTGAACTTGGCCCCAAAGGCGCCGAAATTTACCAAAGCTAGATAACAGGGAACCAGAGGTGTCCTAGAAGAATCCATGGCACTGGTGATCGAAACCAAACCGAGACCCGTGGAATTCATTTCTCAAGCTGGCTGATTTCAGAACCCAATTCTCCTTCAAGCCCAGGGTTGCAAGCTGGAAACCAACCCGCATAAAACCGGCTGCGAGCCAGAAACCCAACAGCCGGCGAGAAATCATAGCGCACGCTGAACCAAAACATGGGTTTGAGAAGAGAACCTTGGCAACGTCGCAAAAATCACACGAAAAGCGTGCCATCCACACTTGCGGCCAAGAATCCCAAACAAATAGTCCCCCATCAAGCAGCGAGCCACCCCTCCCGGCCTCAACCCCGCGCTTCCGCTGGGCGTCGGCCCGTCGGGCAGCCACCCTCCGCGACATGTTTCGTGGGCGGGGGAGTGCACCGCAGGCTGGTGATTTGTTGATAGGTCCCCGTGGCGATTTTTTGTTTTTTTAGAAATCCTGGTGAACTTGAACCTATGATTACCAATCCTGAATATGTTTTAACCAATCCTCTGATTTTTTTTACAAATCGGAATATCCGCAAACATGACTGGTGAACCAAAATTTCCTGCAATGTAGATGAGGCGGCCTAAGGGTACGGTACCCGATTGACATGTTCATTCCCAAATCAAAAGGAGATCCTCGAGTGGCAACCCTAGCAATCACTTGCAAGGAGAAACGGATAATACTACAACAATGCTTTCTGGCGTCTCCCTTGGGAATTGCCCCCCCCCACCCACCTCTTGTGTAAAAACAGGTTTGGGAATACCCAGAATGTCACCAAATGCTCCGTGGTTTCCTTTGGGTTTCCGATTGAACCAACCCAAGCCCACAGCCTTTCAAAAAACTCAAGCCATGCGACGCAACCGATGGAAACTGGCGGGCAACCATTTGAGACGGACCAGTAGTGACTGATGCAACTTCACGTCCTTTGCGAGAAAAGCAAAAACAACATGACTCTCAAGGTTGTCGTCCACCGGAAACATGCAAACTCTCCACAGCTCCGAAGATGCCACACTGCTGATCCTACCCCCCGCCCGCCACCAGCCCACCTGCCCACCTGCCCACCCGCCCACCTGCACACCCGCCCACCTGCACACCCGCCCACCCGCCCCGAACCTACTGTGGCAATGGATGGAACTGGTAAGTGATCAAAATCAAATGCAATCAGTGCCATCTAGGCATAAATTCTATCTGGACAGGAGTGGGGACTTATGTCCGCCAGCCATTTTGGAGGATGTTCCCGATCTAAAGTCAAAGCCATCCCACCCACCCACACACACACACCAGTCTGTGTTTCCCAGCAAAAAAGCATGCGAAATGTCGGCTACTCTTCTGCTTGTGTAACATTTAGCTTGTGCTGCATGTTGTTTCTTTACAAACCAACAGTATACTTCAAAGGATTTTCCCCGTCGCTCTACTTTCAACCCATGGGACGCCATGGGACGCCTGACCCACACGATGTATGTGGGGCCTGCTTTCCAGACGGCAAGCCGCGAGGCGCTTGATGCTCGGCCGCTGCTGGATCTCGTCCTCAGGGTCCAAGCCGTCCAACCCGAATAAAATGAAACAAGTATTATAAGCATAAAAAAAGGAGAAAAACAAAAACAGCTTGAACGAACCTATAAAATGGTCGCCAAGAAGGAAAGTGGACCGGCCAGGATCCACTTGAGTGGAAAGTAACCACAGAAACGAGTAAACAAACCACTTCAAACGGCTCCCAAAAACTGTCACAAGTTGGATCCTCCAGTCCAGTCAATCCGGAATGCTGAGCCCCGTGCGGTTCTTGTTTGTGCCATCCGTTTCGGGAAGGGGTCCCCCGAACTTAGGACACCTCAAACAAGAGGCTGTATTGCGCGATTTCGCGCAGAGCTACGGAGTGAACAAAGGTTGCTTCCAATCTGGGCTTTCAACCCCCCAAACATCACGTTCCACGGTTGAAGGGAGGTAACCATCGCATGCTCCGGGTATTTGTCTATGCTTCCTGTGCTAGGTGAAGCAAATGCCCTGGTCCTGAGATTCGTAGCAAGATGTTCGTTGTTTAACGGAGAGCGCAGCTGCTGAAAGCGGGATCGCGCTCTTCACCCATGCCGGCTCTCGACGGAGGTGGTTGCGAAAGTGGCGGGTTGCCAGTCCGAAGCTGTATTGCGGAAGGTGAATACCCAGGCAAGTCGTGGAGAGTCTCACATATGCGACCTGCAAAAAAGAACAAACAGCAATGGCAAGAGTGGCGCGTAAGGTCCATCCGTTGAAAGACTTGAAGAGAAAATACAGGCGCTAGTCAGTCCAGCTTGGACTAAGATATTTGACATATGAACTGTACACAGAAGATTCCATCTTCTCATAATCTTCTCGTATGTTGCACATCTCTGATCAGCATTATCTTCATGAGTGATGTTTAAACATCAGACATATCGTTCTTGCATCTTGTGAGATGAGGCTGTGCCTCATTTGCATCTTTAAGCAAGATGAGCCTCTGCCTCTCTTAGCTTGTTCTGCGCACGAATCCCGATGGCGGAGGCCACGTTTTGATAGGCCCAAGAGTTTGAGAAATGGTCCGCGTCGCAAGCAAAAGCCCGTGATAATTCATCCGGGTCTCTCTACTAGGTCCTCCAGTAGAGGCTGGAATAAGGGTACCCTTTTTTCTGTAGTCTATTTTAGTAGGGGAACCCTGGGCACTACTGGGGGACCTAGTCTATCTGTCTATCTCTGCGCACTTCTGTGCCAAAACCAGGGACTTCCTTGGCTAGCACCACATTCGCGCTGTCAAGGGAGCCAACTGGCCATATGTGTCCAGAGATCTCACCGGGCACCCGGGCTGCGATGGGCATCCACAGCATGGGGTCGATGGAGGTTGGAGGCTCCACCTCTGGATAAAGCATCTGAACACAATCCTATTCAAAAAAACCGGTGGGTGTGAAGTTTAATAGAGGACTCTTTGGTGGACATCATTTAGGTATGCATTCATGTGAAAAGGTGGCGCCAACTCTTAAAGCTCCCAGCCACACTCATATTGCAGTTTTACATGATCTCTGATTCATCAACCCATTCGGATGACAAGGCTATACAGAGAACCTGAGGCCTCCTTTGAGTAAAGGATCGCGGGAAAACCAAGCTCTTTTTGCCGACCAATGGCACCAAATAGTGTTTTTTAGGGGACACCCCAAAGTTGTCATCCTTTAGATGTCCTTTAAAAACCACCAAAAAGGGTGGTACTCTGAAGAAAGACACACCCATTGGAGCCCCTTTTGGATTGCCTAAACGAGACAATTAGTTGCGGCAATCTCCCAGCTGAAAACCTCCTCCCGTTTGACCTCCTCCCCTAGATTTGCCTCCGGTAAGCCCTGAGGTTGAATGAACGGGGGATCCCTGAGGTTGAATGAACGGGGGATCGGCGGTGGATGGAGCCATCCTTGCAAGCATCTGGGCATATCTGGGTATGTGGCAAAATAGGGGTGAACCCCCCAGAATGATTACTTTTGGCTTGCCATAAACCAATTCAAAACAGGTACCCTCAAACACACACACACACACACACACACACACACACACACACACACACACACACACACACACACACACACACACACACACACACGGGCTGCACCGCGAAACCACGGCAACCAAGTCGCTTTAGTGGGGTTGTGGGAACAAGACACTTTGCCCCCCACAGGCTCAGTATGAAGAAATA